GTTGCTGAATCTGTGGGGCAAGTAAGTAGAGGTTCCATGCAAGTTCCAATTATGCTGATGGTAATAGAAGAAACAAAACTAGAACCAGCAATTGGGACTTCTTTATAATCACAGGTAGATTTAAAACTATTTCCTTAAAAATTAGAACTATTTCAACTTCAAAATAAAATACCGTACCACAAGGAATTAAACAAAAGCAAAAGATTGTTGCTTAAAGTCAAATTCATCTATTAAATATGTTGAGTGTATTCCGTTATTTTATTTTTAAGTTTATCTTAGATTCTATTGATTTGTACGTGCTTTGGAATAATATGTGCCATGATGTGTGAATATTTTAAGAAAAAAATATGGATTTCTGAGAACTCTCCCCCATCACACTAATTTTTCTAAACAATTCTTCCTCCCCTACTGCCTGCCTCTGAATTTTTTAAAAAGTAGCTAAAGGATTGTCTTCTAACCAAATGTCTTTTTTTTTCCCTAGCTATATATTTATAAAGTCCTCTGAGAATTAGTTTGGCATAATAGTTTATTTTAGTGCTTGATACATGTAGTATTAAGATGAAAAAATCCTCAGAACTTTTCTTATATATTATATATTGTCATGCATATATTATAAATAATGATTCATTGAATATTCTTTTATTTTCCTGCTAGATCATTGAGAAAGGCTATATTGCTAAGTTTATGTTATTCTTCCCTTCCCTGACATTATTGTTTTTCTTTTAAATGGACTGGAGAATATATTAATAGCATGGAAAATTTAGCAGGAAGAGCTTGAATTCAATTTGGATTGAGGAGTGAAGATGGAAAATTGGTTAAATCAAATATTTAACCCCTCTAAAGAATGTAAAATCTCCTTCAAATGGTATGGTGGGACCGTAATACTAGCTCATGGCTCTTACTAAAGTGGTCTCCAGATTGGTGCATATTATCATGTAAGTTTCTTTATAGAAAAAAAAATCTCTAATTGCAACATAATCACTTCTATAAAAACATCCAACATTTCTGAGCAAAGCATTTTTTATCTTTATTCATTGCATATTGGATTTTTATGCCATTTATTTCCTGTTTTGCCTTATCTTATCCTAATCTCTGTAGATTATTTTATATTTTATAAATATATAACCAAAGTAAAACAAAAAATAGATATAATCAAGCTTTGTAGCCTCCTTCTCTCCTAACCTATCATTGACAGTTTCTGACAGCAAATAGTAAAAATTCAGAATCAAAGCATGTAAGTAAATGGAAATAAATTTCTCCAGAATAAGTATTTTATTCATATGGACATTAGGCACAGTTGTACAAGGCTAAAAATGTAAATCTGTGATTGTGATAGCTGTGCATATCATATGTATATATTCAGGGTTAAAACATACAGTTCTTATCTATGTGTCTACATACACTAATATGTAGATTTGGGTTGGGGAGGATATATAATGAGAAAGTATACAGTTCAGTGTTAACTGGAGCCCTGTTGGTTGGGTGAACGCCAAAGCAACTTTCAAAATATTTCAAAACAGCTGCCAGCATGTAAAGATTTTAACTGAAGAAAGAGAGTAATGAATCTGAATTACTAATGAGAGAATAAACTTATATTTTGCTTAAGGTCCTAAATGAACATGGAGATAAGCATTTCCAATAAGGAATTTGTTTCTTCTGCATACTACAACAGACTTACATATGCATTCTAAGGTAACCTATAGTGCAAGTCTTCTTTAAGTATATTGTGTGTTTCTGTTTTAGGAAAGAAGGATCCAGAGAGCAGRAGTCCTATCAATTCCTTTAAAAATGGATAATTGAAAGCTTAGAACTTTGATGTTGAATGTGCTCATTTAACTCTTTAATAGTATAATTGAAGAGGCTTCATTGTAAATAAATGTCCAACAGCAAATCTCACATTTTCTTTCTAATGGGACAATTTTGTCCTTTGGTTTTCCAGGTAAAAATTACCCTCCAAATGGGAAGGGAAACAGGATCACACATTTGCTGACCAACTATTATGTAAAATATGTAGTAATAAAATGTAATTACTGGCTTCTTCTAGTTATAGTGTTGGATTGAAACAATTAAAGAAGTGATATTCTTTATTCATAAATCTATCTTACTGTTGATTTGTAGAAAGACTTTAAAAGGGAAACCAAAGTTCTAAAAATTCTGCTCTTTTGGCCAAGGAGAGTTTTCTCTCCCTTTCCCCCTCACTTGGCACATTTTAGCTGCCTCTGGATCAACAGGATCTGGCCTGAAATAGTATATGACAGTACTGGAGTCACAAGGAGGCAGGAGCCACTTGCTGGAAGCCCTCCATCAAGTGGTTGGTGTAGACATCAGTGGCAGGCACAGCACCACCCCAGAAATGGGCTAATAATTCAGACAAATGGTATTTTATAGAAAGCCCACATATGAGTTAGTTTTTAGCTTCATTCATCAGGCATTTACTAGGCTTCCTTTGGCCTATGATACCTGTCTAGAATGGGCATGAACTCCATTTCTTTCAAGTGGAAAGCCTTCCCAGGGCTGAAGAGTGTTATTTGAAATTTCTTCGGATCCAGCCCTGAGGATGAGAGGCGGTGGGGCGAGAGCGCAGAGATCCAAGTCAGCCCGCGACACCTAGTCGTTGCGTGCTCCGCGTGGGACCACGACTCACTTTTATGATCCTTTCAAGGCGGCGGCTTTCCACCCACCTCGCTCTGCSCCCCACGGTCCCAACCGGGGCTCCAAGAACCCCGCGTTTGGCTTCTCAACAAGTATCCCGGTTACGCTAGAAAATGACCCTAAGGAGGGAGTMAGGACCTCGCTCAGGTCTTCAACTAACTCGTGGGATCCTCCGCACAAGACACAGATGCTCATTACGATTCTTTTTACGTGCAACACGTGGGGGACGAAGCAGTTTCATATCTCCTGGTATTATCTGCCGTCCAAAGCATTTTCTTTGAGAGGAAAATGGAAACGCAGCTGCGCCGTGGGCCCGGCCAGCGAGAGCTGAGGCTCCCTCCCTCTGTCTCGTTGTGGCTGCTGGGCGCGGGAGGCTCCTCCGGAAACTGACTTGGGTTAGGGAAGCTCAGAGGTTGCCCTGGCAGGCGTGGGACGCCACTGGGGCGAGGACTCGCCTTTGTGCTGCTTGGCTCTTTTCCAGAGCCATCAGGGTGGGAGGGGACGCCTGAGTGTGCAGCAAGGGCAGACTCCTGGCCCCTTGACCGTGTGCGGAGACGCTGGGCTGAGCGGCCTCTGCTACTCTCTGGCTTGGCGACTTCTGGCCAATCCCTTCTGCCCCTCTGGCCCCMGGCGGGCCGGCTGCGCCCCAGGCTCAAAGGGTTAAGCAGGTGTCTCGCCTGGCGAGGCGCTATTGGCCGAGGGCCCGGGCGGCGCGGCAGCGGTCACCACGCTTCGCTGAGCCCAACTTGGGTTTGAGCTGAGGGTGCGGCGACCACTCCTCCCCAGGCTGTGGTGCCGGGGCTTTGGCGTGCGGGGAGTGGAAAGGAGAAGAGTAGGAGAAGGGGAAACCACCGGCAGCAATAGCAAAACCAGGCAGGGAGTGTGCGAGCGCAAGGGGTAGGACGCCTGAGCCTTGCATCCCTTAGGGGCTGCGCCCACTGCTTGCAACTTYGCTCCCGCTCTCTAGCCGGAAGAAAGAGGAGGAAGTGGGGCAACAGGGGTCCAAGGCCGGGGGGTGGGGGGTGGTGGTAGAAGAAATGATAAACTCCCACCGTCACATCCCTTAGCCGAGTGAAAGGAGTGCAAGTTATCACTTAAGAAGGAGTACCCAACCCATAAAGAATCCCTCCTCATCCCCTAAGGATTGCTGCAACAATGTGGAGAAGTAACTGTGAGACGCGAGGAAATAAATGCACGTGCTTTCTCTTTTTGTTTCCCTGGTGGTTGGAATTTGCAGAGTTCTTCTCAATTGTGGMTGCTAATTTATTCGTTTCATCGGTGGAAAGGGGCCTGTGGAGGTGGGTCATCAGGGCACTCTCGGATCCCGCTAGCAGGTCCTACAGTACCCACCTCACGAGTTTGCCCAGAATCACCCGCCCGCCCACTAGGAGCGGGAAGAGTCCTTTCTTATAAAGGGAACAAACTCTTCATTGCACAAAAGCGGCTTCTTTTCCCTCCACCTTCGCATACCATCTCTCCCTGATAAGTATCAAGTTCTCCAGGAGCCCAACTTGCGCCTGGCAAGGCTTGCGCTGCATAGTGTGCAGAAGACTGGCAAAGAGCGGCCCGGGCTAGGAGGGGAGGCTCTGCGCCCCCATTCCTACACATGCAGGCTGGAGTCCAGGTTGCTGGAAGCCACCGGAGGCGCGAGCCTGCCTGGATGGTGGCTATTTCTCTAGAGAAAGGAGGGAGAGAGCGCGCCTCAGTCTAGCACTTTGGGTCGGAAGTGCGCGGCGAGTGTGTGTGTGTGTGTGTGTGTGTGTGTGTGTGTGTGTGTAGAGGGGCGGGAAAAAATGCACTCTCCACTGCCCGTCATTCCCTTGCACCGGCCAAGTCCTAGCCAAGCCTCCCGGTGCATCCTTCCTCCGCTACCCCCTCCCCTTCTTCCCTCAGCTGGGCTCGCGCGGCGCAGCCTGAGCAGCCAGTGAGAGCAACATCCTGGAAAGAGGGGGGAGCACCACTGCCCCCCAAAAGGGAAAAAGGCCCCACCCTGACACGTTTTGCTGTTTGCAAGTCCCTCGYACGCCCCCCGCACCTCCTCCTCGCKCTCGCGGCCCCCCCAGTCCGCTGCGCGCACATCAAAGCGCCTCTCCGCCGCGCACAGTGGCCGCGGCTCACTAATGGGATTGCAGGCTGGTGCCTGGCTCCGCTGCTGCCGCCGCCRCTGCTCGCGCTGCTGCTGCCGCCGCCGCCCGAGCCCAAGCCCGAACCCCGCCAGCCCCAGCCCAGAGTCGTAGCACCCGGGGTCCGAAGTCGCGGCGATGATCCGAATTTTTCCGGATTTCAGCGTGCAGGTGACGGCCGCGGCGGCCGGCGGGGCGGCCGCAGGGGTGCCGGCCGGCGCGGGCATGGGGAGGGCCGGCGCCGCCGCCAACGGTACCCCGCAGAACGTCCAGGGCATCACGTCCTACCAGCAGCGGTGAGTAGTCCCGCCTGAGCTGGGATAGTGCCCCCGCCCCGGGGTTCTGGGGTGGGACTCACTTTGCTCCTGTTTTGTGCCTTACAACACACATGCACACCACCAGGGCTCACTTTGCCTTCTTCTCGTTCTATAGAGAAGGAAGGAAAAAAAAAAAAAAAATCACAGTCCGAACTGAAAAGCACTCCAGTGCACTGGCGAAGTGAAATCATCCTTTGCCCTCTGTCTAGCCCCCAACCTAGAACCTCAGTCCCGAGTAGCGAAGGAGTTGCAGCGAAGTCTGAGACGCCGCACAAGGTGCTTTTGCAAAGTTTGGGATCCTTGTTCCCCTTCCAGCAGAATTTTCTCAATGCCTTTGCCGGGTGCGGATCGGCGCTGACCAACAACCAGGAGGGCAATTGATCACCGGAGGCTGATTGATCATTTGTTTCCAAACAGAATAGGACCGATTTTCACGTGTAGCAGTAGACTTGCATTTTACATAATAGTGTTATCATGTCACCTGTTACTACAGGGAAATACAGCATGAAATCCGAGTCTCTTCGGCGCTGTTAAGTATTCATTTTAAATGCATTATAATGCAAATGGATAAAATTCCGAGATACAATTTAGGAAACTAATTTTACAAAGTTAGGCTAGGTGGTTGGATGGAAGTTTTAAAGTAATACTTGTTTGCATTTCTGTTAAACATATTGGTAGATTTTAAAAAATATGGATGTGACATTGAGATAGTAAACATTCTTTGATTCAATGAGAGAGAGAGAGAGAGAGAGAGAGAGAGAGAGAGAGAGAGAGAGAGAAAAAAAAAAATGACCTCCACCACCAGCCCTAGAACTCTAAAGTTTTTCCATAAGGACAACTTTGGATGGTTCAAGATTTTATTGAAAATGTAACCCATAAAAATGCGCTGAGAAAATCTAACAATGTAATAAGAAAAGTAAGCTCTCCATTTGTGGGGTTCAATTTTACTGAAGATGGAAGAAAAAAGAGCACATGAAAGTGTGAAATTAAATATTTGTGTTTCCCAGATTGCACACGATTAAACATCTGAGAGATTTGCCAATGGCATTTAACTTAAAATATACACAATGCATAATTCAAATAACAGTTCCTATTTTTACCTTGTATTTGAAACTTCATTGATTTGAGAACCTTTGATTTGAACCAACAGTATTTAAACTGAAAAGGTTAAGATAATCTATCATTGCCATATTTTGTGCCTTCTAACCAAGGGCCCAGTGACCAGAGCAGATTTTGCATAACACATTGAGTGTTTTCCAAGTTCATGCCCAGTAATGCAAATATTCTAAAGAAGACTTCATTATATGCTCTGCTTATTGTCAGAAGTTTTAAAAGGAATCTTAAAAATATTTCAAAAAGGGGCTATTCCTTGACAAGGTGATTTTTGACTTAAATTATTTTAGCCCTGTTTTACTTCAGTGATGACAAGAATCTTTAATACAAAAGATGTGGGAGTCTTTCAAACATGAAGGACTGGAAAAGAATTAGATTTTTCCTTTTCATGATCAGGTATTTTTTTGTCATTTATAAAACATTTAAATGACAATAGAATTTGGTGAACACTTTAACTAGGAAGTGCAGGCAACAGTCACAATAGTGTGGTTTGTGAAGTAGGGAGTCAAGGGTCAGAAATGTCAGATGGCCTTTAGAAGATTTCAGGGACCTCTGGGAAACTTGAGCTAAACTAAAAGATATAAAATTGGGCATAGAGGGCAGTTATGAATTTTTAGCCTTTAGGTTTGCTCTGAGTGTTGGTGTTGTCCTTAAAAAAGATTATCTTGGGGCATTTTTTTTTTTCTTCAAGTTAGAAGCATCCAGTGGCAGTTCCCCATGGTCCCTGCCATCTCCATACTGCTCTGGAGCCCTCCACCTTTTTGTCTTTGAATTTGGGCTTCTTGTCAAACATTTGAGTCCCACTATAGTTCTAAAGATAAAAAATAATCACCTCTAAACTCTAGCTTTTGAGATGTATTATTCCCTCCCTCCCTTTTTATGTTTTCTTATATTGACAGAAGGGAAGATGATGTWAAAAAATGTAGCTTTCTTTGGTGGTGTTACTCAGATATGATGACACCTGTTACTGTCTTTAATTTTAGTTAAATTTGGGACAGACGAGTGAGTCATGTGGGGCAAGAAGATTATTGGCAGGTATTTGAGGTAAGGTCTGAGCCAGCATTGTGGGCCACCAACTATCTGTCAGGCTTCAGGAACTCTGAGGGTCAGACTTAGTTACTACCTCCAGAMTTGGATGTGTATGCTAAAGTGAATGGTGACACATCATTTCACACACCCTAAAAATATTTTAAGTACTTTTGAGGAGTCTATAAGAGAGTGACAGGAGTGGGGCGTTTTCATGCAAAGGAGCCTGCTTGTTGGGAGAACACAAGCTTCTCTCATTTGTCATCTTGGGGCAGAAATGCCCTAGACGGCTGTCCTGGAGCCAGAGCTTCCAACTGGCAACTTTCCCCCTTCTCTACCAGTCACTTTGTATCTTGTAGACAACAGTCTCTATTCCAGTTCATTTCTCAATCATTCTCATTTTCTCCTACCTGTAGAGTATACTCCAAAGAGAACTCAAACATCATCATGCAAATTAAACACCTCTGCCCCCCCCCCCGAAAAACACTTATGCTTTAGATGGAAGTTTCCAAGTTCCAGCCCTACTTCACTGAATGGTAGGATCACAGGGGCCTCCTTTTCAGGTCTTTTATTTATTTTTCCTAAAGTTTAAAAAGCAAAATGCAAAACCTCGCATAGGACTGGTGTTTTCTATCAGGCTCTTTCATTCATTAAAAGTGGAAAAGCTTTGGGAGTCCTTTCTTTATGCCTGGTTGACTTGTGACTGACCCAAGTCTCTGCGTAAAAAACTGCTCTCCTGCTGCAGAGTGGCTTAGCGGAGAAAACGCACTGACTAGGGTCTACCCAGGTAACAGGATTCCAGCGCTGGACCATTCACTGAGTCGCTCTTTCTCTAGGCCTTGCTGAGCTGTAAAATGGGGAGGCGGCCCGGTTAGATCCCCAGAGGCAAGCAGTCTGGTCTCAGGTACTGGGACCTGAGTCGGGAAAAGCGTTTTATGTAATTGCGTTTTAACCACTAGGGATTCACCTGTAAACCCTGGGGTCTGCATATTTGTACGTGCTTGAATAATGCAGATACTCTGGCTTTGGGGACTCTGTTGAAAACGCCAGAGCCACWAGGTGCCTGTGTTGCAGCTGCGCGGGCCCACAGGACTATCCCGGCCGCTAGCCCGGGCCAGCACAAGCCCAAATCCCTGCCCCATGTTTATTCCCGCTGCTTCCAAAGGTGCGCCCGGGACCCTGTCCTGCCCYAGCTCACTCCCGTGGCCTCCCAGTTCTCGTATTTCTTTCCTTCCTTCCTCCTGGCTGCGATACTCCAGAGAAGGGAAGTGTTTGAAACTGCAACTGAGTGGCGTTGTTGCGCCAGCAGCCGAGCTTTCCAGTCCCCCTAAAGAGAGAGAGAGAGAGAGAGAGAGAGAGAGAGAGAGAGAGAGAGAGAGAGAGAG